AGGATTTAAATTTGCAACATATGGTATGTGTGTCCCTGGCTATAGGGATCAGACAGGATTTGCTATATCTGCCTTTATTGTCATATCAATATTGGTTGGAAGCATTACAGTCACATCAATATGGACAATGTGCTTTATAAGAAAATATCTTAGAAATACTAGCACACAAACATTGAGTCCTGATAATCCATATGCAGCACAAGAGAGGAGAGTGATTGGATTGTTTGGTATGCTGATAATAGTACACATATTGTGCTATGCACCTATTGTTTCTTTTGCTGTGATTGAAGTATTCACTAATGCTCTACCAACAACAGCATATGCTGGAGCTATTGTGATTCTTTTACTTTTGACTACTCTCATCCCATTGGTCCAGTCATTCTTTAGAAGGGACATCAGAAATGCTATTGTTAAAGGTTGTAAAACTATCATTGCCTTTGTTAAGGGGACAAAACCTCATTAAACTATGGAAAAGATAACTTCTCTAAGTGTCCACTCAGGTGTGTTGGTTTGTCTTTAATCTTAACTTTTAAAGTTGAAACTGTATAAGCTCATATATATATATAGCTGTTTGTTTTTTATATTTTATCAGTATGAGTATAATGTATGCTGCTAAAACAAAAGCAATAATTATTTGGACTAATTATACTTTGTATAGATAGTACTCTAACTTCCTGTTTGCTATTCAATGTGTTTTAATAATGTAGTGTAAGGTATACAAGTAAAAGATCAAATTTGGATTTAGCAGTTCTGGCCATGCAGCTGGACACATGTGCTAGGTCAGCCTAGGTGTGGCTGGAATAAGGTGTCAATTTAGGTGTGGCTCAATTCAGCATTAGATTGAAGGCAGTCAAAGTCTAGACAAGTCAAAGTCAGCTACACCATAGACCCTGTAAATAAAGGGTCTATTGCTACACATAAAGCTACATACAAAGCATAGAGAAGAAAATTTTACAGGCAAAAGATTAAAGTAATCTAATGATGTATATATATGAAATGTTTTGCTAGGTTAGGTAATGTAAACTATCCCCTAGATTTTCTGAAATTTTATAAAGAAATTACTACCAATTAGACAATAGTGTATTCATGTAAGCTGTTAGAATGTACCTATTAATGCTAGTTATAAGTTAGTTCTCTCGCTATTTTCATTATCAGCTAGAAATGGTGGTGGTGGTTCTGGTTCATGACAACTTCACTCTAAGTGATAGGTTAATGGACCACTGTTAGCAACAAATCACTATTGCTACTAACAGTGATCCATTAATCCCATCACTTAGAGTAAAGCTGTCATAAACCACCACCACCATTTTTAATGATTAAAGATGGCTCTAAAAATATAGAGAGAAAGCTTATACTATAACTATGAGAGTACACCAGGGAGAGGAACATATCCACAACTTTGACATATTGAATTGAAAGGGCCACAAACAAATATAGGATGTGGTTATAGTTATAGCCAAGCATGAATAAAATGACTAAATTGAAAGGGCCAAACAGGGCCTCCAACCCAATTTCCCTAAGTGACCCAATTTTCCCCCAGATTTCCCTATATGAAATGTCACTTTTTCCCTAAAAATCCGGAAATATCCCTAGAATTCCCTATTATTAATGTTAATAAACATTAATAAATTAAAAAAAAGAGGAATAAAATTTTGATTCTCCCCAGATCTAGGGAAATTTCCTTAGGGTTGGAGGCCCTGGGGCCAAACTAAAACAAATAGGATGTGGTTATAGCCAAGCATGAGTAAATAATGACATCATAGTCCTATTTTTTGTGGCCCTTTCAATTCAATAAGTCAAAGTTCCTTTTCCTGGTGCGTACTCTCATATCATAGTCTAAGTTAGCTCTCTCTTTAATTTTAGAGCTATCTATAATCTTTAGAAATGGTGTTGGTAGTTTATGACAACTTCACTCTAAGTGATGAGATTAATGGACCACTGTTAGCAGCAGTGATTTGTATAGAGATGATTGGAGGACTCATGACCAACTCATTTGTACTAATACTCACTGCCTGCCATTTAAAGACTTGGAAGCAACCAACAACTATCTTTCTCTCTAACATGCTCGTCAATAACCTCAT